TTCTAAGACCTCTTTTTTCAATATTTCTATGCACATAAGACAAAAATTCTGTCTACGTTTCCATTTCTTCGAATGAGCAAATGTTTCAGCTAACTTTATTAACAAATCTGGCGGTAAATTCAGTTCTGAAGATGTATACGAAATTATTTCAGTAACTTATGCTAAGGCAGCTTCTCTTACTGCGGCTACAGCAGATATTTCTAAACACCGATGTGTTTAGTCATATCATATTATATCATCATATCAAAATCCCCAAATTTACCATATTCTTTAAATGTACCGCTCTATTGCACGAAAGGTTGGTAACTGCCTTGCTGTTTTTGGCTAGAGCTTAACTTAGCTGTAGTAACAAAGTTAATTAATAAATTGCGTATTGTTTAATGTTGGTAATCTTATTTCCCAAGTTAGTGGGTGGTCCTTCGAGTTTTAAATAATTACATTACTTAGTAGGTACGTTCTAAATAAAAGTAAGATCGCCATCCTAATTTGTGAAATAAATCTTCCGTTTATTTCTACCTCTAAAATACTGTTTTCCGCTAGAGCATAAGTATTGAAATCTAATTTAGTTATAAACAGCCTTCCTCAGATGTCAATAATTACAATAATTTTTTATCAAAATCCAAATTGAAATAACACTTTTGCAAAAAAATCGTACGATGCTGTTAAACGACTAAACCAAACGTTATTAGGGCAATTGAAGACATGTTCTGCCCAATAAGACGTAAAATAGAGCTTGGATACTATAGTTACAAGATTTGTCATCTAGAAAACCTTTATCAGAATTGTCATCAGAATTTACGGGACAATATTTTTACTGAACAATGAATGGCTGATTTATTCTGGGAGATTTTCCAATTTAAGATCACATTCGCCACGATAGGTTTATAAAAGACATTCACAGCACTGCTTTACCGAAGCTGTAACAGCTATATATTTAATATTTGCATTAGTCCCTAAAAATAAAGTATCCTGGTTTTCTACTTAACAATTCTATCCACTTATATTCTAGGTTAAATCAGACTTTCTCTTTTTATTTAATTGTTTTTTAGACCTGACGTGTGGTTTGTAACAAATACCCAAGCACTAACATGGATGACGGACCCAAAGCCAATTAACCAACTAAAAAGCTACGAACCGTGGGATTGCAAAAAAAGAGAAAATTTACCGCCCAAACCATGTAAAATTCCCAACAAGTGCGCGCTGGCCTTCAAACGACCAGAGCTGAACATTACAGACACTCGCTACCTTGAAACCTGCAACGATTGCCCAAATCAGTATCCTTGGTTGGATGACTCTAGTGGTTCTGGTATACCAGGGAAAGACAATTATGTTCCTGATAATGTTAGGAAATGAATTTTATGTACTGAGTGTTTTAAATCATTACCGTCAAAGAAATAGTCCTACTAATATTCAATAAAATATAAAAATGTAAAAAGGAATGAATTTTGTATAAAATGTGTACAAAAAGTAATATAATTTGTAATATTACCATTTTTTATAGATGAAGCAAAATGTTTTTAATTTTAATTTACGTGAATCAGAAATATACCAGGTGTATCATTCATACAGCTCGTCTATTTTTTTCCTGCACCATCTAGGATTAAGTGCGGTTTTTGGTCTGTAACTTTTGGTTTTTCGGCATTCTTCAGGAATTGTTAGAAACAAAAATATTTTTTTTTCATTTTCTTCTTTTGTTATGACAACTTTAAACTAAGTAACATAAGAACAAAAGATAATGTAATTTAATAGATTATATAAAATATAATAAATATGCAGGGTGCACTATTAAAAAATAGATTTCTAGGATAATTTGAAATTATGACGAACTAGGTATAATTCTGATTGACGTATATAGATAACTAAAATATTTTGATAAACTCTGCATAATATATCGAAATATTAGCAAGTTATGTTATTTTTTTAGTACTTTACGAGAGCAGCAAATGTGTGCGTCAATTCCTGTTATGTGTGTATGAAAGGCATCTATTTCTTTATTGATGTGTTTTAGCATAGTTATTTATACATAAAAGTAATTGATTATAAACTCGCAATTACTAAGCCACATGTTTAGGACGTAAATTAAAAAAAATTGGTATGAAAATCAAACAGTCACAGATTACAAATTCTTATTGGTATTATTTAATTTATATTAAATATTTCAAAATATATAGTATGTATAATTAATTTTGCAGATTTATTTAACACCCTTTTGATTCCTTTCTTAAATTCGATAACATAAGTATCTAGGGAAGTGGTACAAATACTAGATACAAAAGATAAAATAGGTAAGAAAAATAAAAAAAATTGACTGGGTACTTCAAATCCCTTCATAGATAATAAATTATTATTGATCTATGAAGAAATGCTCAGACCACTACAGGCATACGGCACTATGTGGGAAGCTATCAGCCAAAATAAAATTTGAAGATCGACGCTTGCAGAAGATAATATGTTATTATAGGACGTTCGTAAGTTAAAACTAGCTACATTTAACGAATTGAAGATAAAGACATTGAAACAATACTAAAGAAATGTGCTAATGAGCCAATTTCCCACTGCTAGATATAATACGTCCACTCTATGTTTTATATTAAATGTTCAATGAAAATATTTTTACGTCGCGTCGATGTGTAGATAATTATCATTGATACCTACTACTGTCAATGTAATAATTACGAAATGGCTAATATCCCGGTGGATGTATTTCATAAAGTTAAATTTAGTAAATATATTATTTATTATCATTTTTGTGTATTTGGATTAGTATTCGTCGGGAATAAGATGAATCAAAATATGGTGAAAAGAAGATTAAAAAGTAATCTTAATATTATTTGTACAATCTGCCAAAATAATTTACTTTTGTATGAATTTTATTCTATTGTCACATAGCAGTAGTGTCGAACGCGATAATTATTTGGATAGCTACGGAACCATGCAGCTCTGGAACACCTCGTGTTGTTGAATTACTTTTTTTTTAATTCTTGGTATTATTTTAAGGACTTTTTTGGAAATTATTAAGTATTAAAATTAGTTTATTATTTAAATAAAATACAAATAAACTGTTTGAAATATATTTATTTCGTTGAAATCATATAATAGATATAACTTCTTACGTGCGTACTAACGTATGGTCCCAAAGTTTTGGGAAAATTTTCAAAAGCATATAACTCTGACCACAATAATCTTATATTTTTATTAAATTATTCAACAATTTAACTTAACTATCCTTATTATAAATCAAAATTCAAATGACAGACAAGGGACCATTATTTTAAATTTGCCTAATAATTCCCCTGACACGTTGCATCATCCTTTGGACGACCTCGGCTTCAATTTCTCTAATTTTTGTATATATGCGGCGTCTTAACTGTTCCTGATTTTGAGCTTCCCATCCGTTATTATAGACTTTCCGACTTAATATTGCCCAGAACTCTTCAATTGAACGAGTCTGAGGTAGGTGGGGGAATTGTCTGCTTTCGGTACAAAGGTAATGTTGTTAGTTTTGTACCAGTACCTTGTGATCCTCGCGTAATGACATGAAGCAAGATCTGGCTAAAAGTCTATTTGATCATTTGCATGATGTGTGTTCACAAACTGAAGCAATTTAGAGAGACATCTTTGAATATAAATGTTTGACATTAATGTAAGATAGGCTTAACGTAAACCTGGTAACTATGTCAACTATGTCAATGTCAAGTCAACACCACTTCCCATGCCACTTCCCAACGGGGACAATGGGCAACATGATCATGTTGTAATGTATGAATATTATTAATATATGTTCAGCCAATACAGTAGTTTAATTGAGACCTTATTAAACATACTTTAAACATGGCGCAGTCAATTTATGGAATCTACGTGTCCAAGGATAAAGTTAAGTGCTGAGTTTATTAAAAAGAAAAATTTAAGTGTTCCCAAAATGGCAAGCATGGTCAATGGAATAGGTTATGTTAAGTTACCCCAAGATTTCGACCTCCAGGGTCAGAGTGCCGCTTCTGAATGGAAATTTTGGAAAATTTCATTCGAAGATTATTTAGTAGCAACAGGACAACACGACGCTGTAGATCAGGTGAAATTATCCATCCTGCGAAATATTATTGGCCATGAATCAGCACGGATTATGGCTACTTTTGTTATCCCTGATGAAGAACTAAATAAGTATGAATTCACAATGCAGCTGTTAGATAAGTATGTGAACCCAAGAGTTAACGAATGCTTTGAGAGGTACAACTTTATAAAACGAGTACAAGAAGATGGGGAGACATTTGAACATTTTTTGACAGAGTGCAGACATTTGGTTAGAAGTTGCAATTACAATGCCCTAGATCCCGATGAGTCATGTGAAGACAAGGCATTGTGGAGACAAAATTGTTATGGGAATTAGGGATCCGACCACACGAGAAGCCCTCCTGCGAATAGACAAATTAAGTTTAAATAAAGCTATAGAATTCTGCAGAACAAGTGAGCAAAGTAGATCTCAAAATTTACAGTTTCAATATAATACAGGAAATATTAATCATACACAGAAGATAGAGAAAAAGAAATATGATATAAAGAAGAAACCTTGGAATGAAGAGAAAGAAGTTGAAGAAGAAGTTTTTTTATGCAGAAGGTGTGCAAAAAAGCATGGTCCGAGGGAATGCCCAGCTTATGGCAAGAAGTGTAACAAGTGTGGACTAAAAAACCATTATGCAGTTGCCTGCAAGGTCAAAAATATTAAAAGTACTGAAAAAGATGATTGTGAGTCAACCTCTTCTAATGAATTTTTTGTAAGAAATGTTAACAGCAGGAAAAAGGTATGTAATGTTAATTTGATAGACACTTGGGAAGAGTATATAGAGGTTGAAAATTATAAATTGAAAGCTAAGTTAGACACAGGGGCAGATGTAAATGTTATTCCTTTAAATGTTTATAAAAAATTTAATTGTCAATTTAAAACCAGGCCTACTGAATATGTGTTAAAGGCATTTGATGGAAATGTGTCTCATCCTATAGGTGTAGTAAATTTAAATGTAAAATGTAAGGGTAAGAATATTTTTGAAGATTTTGTCATTGTGGATGGTGCAAGTCAGGTTCTGATATGTGGACAAACATGTTTAAATTTGAGTTTGGTAAAACGTATTGATTCTATAAAAATAAATAAGATAGGCCAGTCTGATTTAACAGATAAATTTATCAATGAAAATTTTGAAGTTTTCACAGGGTCAGGCAAATTTCCTGGCACATATAAAATTACAACATATGATAAATTTGAACCAGTTTGCTATCCACCTACAAAGTGTCCAATAAAAATTAGAAATTCACTTAAAACTGAGCTAGATAGATTAGTCCAAAGAAAAGCAATTGTTAAGGTAGAAAACATAGACCCCAGGGCAAGTATTAATAGAATGGTGATAGTCGAAAAGAGCAATGGTAAATTAAGAATATGTTTAGATCCCTCAGATCTGAATAAACATATAGTACGCAAACCTAGAGTTGGGGAGTCCATTGAGGAAATATGTTCAAAATTATTAAACAAAAATGTATATTCTGTTTTTGATTTATCTGAAAGTTATCACCAACTTTCAATTGATGAAAATTCTTCATGGAAATGTTGTTTCTCTACACACTATGGAACTTACAGGTTTTTAGTTTTACCTTTTGGGTTATCAAATTCTCAAGACCTTTATTATCACCCAAGAGGTGATAAATAGAGCAAAAGAGGTGGATGTTAGATTTAATAAAGAGAAAATTCAATTTAGCAAAAAAGAAGTAAAGTTTATGGGACAAATTTTTTCTCATTTTGGAATGAAAGTAGATCCTGAGAGGACAGATGCTTTATGTAAATTAGAAACTCCAAAAAGTAAATTAGAGTTACAATGAATAATAGGTTCCTTTAACTATATTAGACATTATGTTAAAAATATGGCTGAGCACATGCAAATTTTATGTGATCTTTTAAAAAACAATGTAGAATGGCAATGGTTGCCTAAACACCAGGAATGTTTTGATAAGTTAAAGAAAATAATTTCAAATTCTCCAGCTCTGGTACCATTTGATCCAAATAAAAAAGATAGTTTTGCAATGTGATGCATCCAAAAATGGAATTGGGTGTTGTATGTTTCAAAACTATGATGGTATGTTGAAATTAGTTGCATGTTCATCTAGGTCTATGAATGAACATGAAATAAATTACAGCCAGACAGAGAAAGAGTTATTAGCCGTTTTTTATGGTACACAAAAATTTCATAACTTTATTTACCAGTGTGATGTTGATGTCCAAACAGATCATAAACCAATAATTTCAATTATGCAGAAACCAATATGCAAAATTGGGTCAGTAAGGTTGCAGCGTTTAAGGCTAAAATTATTAAAGTACATATTATATATTTATTATGTTCCAGGAAAGCATATTCAATTTGCATATATGCTTTCTAGAGCTAGTTTAAAGGCACAAACCCTTGATTTAGAGATGTTTGATATGGTTCATTCAGTCTCACTATACTTACCAATGACAGATAAAAAAATATATCAGTTCAGAGAAGAAACCTCTAAAGATAAAGTTTTGGTTACAATTGTTGATTTTTATTATAAAGGCTGGCCTAAAGAAAACAAGATTCCAGAGTATATAAAGCCATATTACAGCATTAAAAATGATATATATGTTGAAGCAGGAATTGTTTTTGTTGAAAATAAAATAATTGTACCAAAATCTCTAAAACAGGAAATGATTACTCTGTTACATAAAGGTCATATAGGAACTAGTAAAACTATTAATAAAGCAAGATCTTTATTTTTTGGCCAAACCTTAGGGATGATATTGTCCAGTTTATAAAAAAATGTAGAATTTGTGAAAAATTCATGCCAAATAATTATAGAGAGCCAATGTTAGCACATTCAATACCAAAATTGAGGTTTAATAAAATTGCGGCTGATATTTTGGAATTTGGTGGTAAATCTTACTTAATTCTAATAGATTATTTTTCCCATTGGATAGATATGCTATCATTAAATAATAAAACATCTGAAGCCATAATAGATGCAATGCAAGATGTTTTTTCCAGATTTGGCTATCCTCAATTTTTAATTGCAGATAATTTACCATTTATATCATTTAAGTGTAAAAAATATTACGATAATAAACAAATTACAGTCCTGACATGTTCACCTCATTACCACCAAAGTAATGGCCTTGCTGAAAAG